AGCTCTTCATAAAAATAACTATTTACAACACTTGCTTATCTACAACATATACATAGTGTCCTTAATAATACCATGCATGAGTCAAGGACCTCATTAAAAACAAATGAAGTTGGACTCTTTCTATAAATAACATCATGCTTTTTTAACACATTTTCAAGAACTGATAACACGCCATGACTAGATCTCCTGTGTTCGGCATTGTACTTTTACTACAAGCATGTGGAAAGTAAATATACATATAGTTTATACAGAGCGATAACAGATATCTAAAGATTATATGGTATATTTTCAATAATATTCCCTGTTAGATCGGAGACCTAGACATGTTGGCCCATACAGACAAAACTCTTATACCTCATGAAAAGTAAAACTTTAAGAAATGTACATACCTCTCTTCGTAGGTTTTGATAAAGGCTTTGATAAATGTCCATGAAATAAGACAATTATGGACTGAAAATTAACCATTTTTTTGTAATCCAAATTGTGTAACAGTAGGCCTAAGTAGCTCATACTTGTAATTAAAACTTGTCTAATTGAGTGGATTTCAAATTTGCCGCATCGATGCTATCAAACAAGACACCCATGCACATCAGAATAAATGAGGTCCTTAGAAAACTATTAACATTGGGGTTGTGTTTGAGAAATTACAAAATAAACCAAAAAAGAGAAAACCCTCAAAATGGCAATACTTTAAGTCTGTACACATTTGTTGCATTCCTTCCTCGGCTTTACACGCTAGTACAGTTAGGAATCTCCCTTGTGCTCTCGCAGGCATTTCCAATTCGCCCTGGGGTAGAGAGGAAAAAAAACACAACATAAGAACAATGTGGGTTAGTCCACTGTTAGTAGAGGCTTTGATGCCTGTGAAACAAATAACTACTTGGACATTGATACGGCCTGTTAATTACTGGGGTTTGATTACATTGTCTTATCAAAAGCTCTTAAGCTGTTGTTTCATGTGTGGGACATTAGTGGCTGACCCATTCGTTAGTTTGTTTCCTTGTTTTCTTCTGAAGATACAGTACTCCTCCTTTTTCCTACCAGTTAATTCCATGTAAAGAAACAATGTAGACTTTCTAAACACTATGTAGTGTATACACTGCAGGTCAAAAGTCAACATTGTTATACACGGAGATATGACCCATATGTGTTCTAGTCCAATATAATTAGTTTGGACAATGTATGTGTAAAATTGGTGGATCTTTCTCAACAAGGAAGTTCAAAGTCACCAAATCAGTAACTTGCTAATAACAGAGTAAACAACGATTTGTCAGACTATGTATCTTACGTTTAACCCTGGCGTCCATCTCCTTCTCACTGAGGGTGATTTAGGCGTGCTGTCATTCTGGCTGACCGAACCGATCATCTCCTGCTCTTTCTCCTGGTTCACCTCTGCGTACAGTGAGCGAAAAAAGTATTTGATCCCCTGCTGATTTTGTACGTTTGCCCACTGACAAAAGACATGATCAGTCTATAATTTTAATGGTAGGTTTATTTGAACAGTGAGAGACAGAATAACAACAACAAAAATCCAGAAAAAAGCATGTCAAAAACGATATTAATTGATTTGCATTTTAATGAGTGAAATAAGTATTTGATAAGTATTTGACCCCTCTGCAAAACAATCACAGAGGTCAGACGTTTCTTGTAGTTGGCCACCAGGTTTGCACACATCTCAGGAGGGATTTTGTTCCACTCCTCTTTGCAGATCTTCTCCAAGTCATTAAGGTTTCGAGGCTGACGTTTGGCAACTCGAACCTTCAGCTCCCTCCACAGATTTTCTATGGAATTAAGGTCTGGAGACTGGCTAGGCCACTCCAGGACCTTAATGGGCTTCTTCTTGAGCCACTCCTTTGTTGCCTTGGCCGTGTGTTTTGGGTCATTGTCATGCTGGAATACCCATCCACGACCCATTTTCAATGCCCTGGCTGAGGGAAGGAGGTTCTCACCCACGATTTGACGGTACATGGCCCCGTCCATCGTCCCTTTGATGCGGTGAAGTTGTCCTGTCCCCTTAGCAGAAAAACACCCCCAAAGCATAATGTTTCCACCTCCATGTTTGACGGTGGGGATGGTGTTCTTGGGGTCATAGGCAGCATTCCTCCTCCTCCAAACACGGTGAGTTGAGTTGATGCCAAAGAGCTCGATTTTGGTCTCATCTGACCACAACACTTTCACCCAGTTCTCCTCTGAATCATTCAGATGTTCATTGGCAAACTTCAGACGGGCCTGTATATGTGCTTTCTTGAGCAGGGGGACCTTGCGGGCGCTGCAGGATTTCAGTCCTTCACGGCGTAGTTTGTTACCAATTGTTTTCTTTGTGACTATGGTCCCAGCTGCCTTGAGATCATTGACAAGATCCTCCCATGTAGTTCTGGGCTGATACCTCACCGTTGTCATGATCATTGCAACTCCACGAGGTGAGATCTTGCATGATTGATTGATTGCTTCTGTGGACAGGTGTCTTTTATACAGGTAACAAGCTGAGATTAGGAGCACTTCCTTTAAGAGTGTGCTCCTAATCTCAGCTCGTTACCTGTATAAAAGACATCTGGGAGCCAGAAATCTTTCTGATTGAGAGGGGGTCAAATACTTATTTCCTTCATTAAAATGCAAATCAATTTATAACGTTTTTGACATGGGTTTTTCTGGATTTTGTTGTTGTTATTCTGTCTCTCACTGTTCAAATAAACCTACCATTAAAATTATAGACTGATCATTTCTTTGTCAGTGGGCAAACGTACAAAATCAGCAGGGGATCAAATACTTTTTTTCATTTTTATATGTTAATCCAGGGGATTTTTCTGTAGATTGGTAAATGTAGACAGACAACAGCCATGTTACAATAGAGAATGACTATTCAATGATGGTCCGTCCCATTGGCAACATTTCTCAAAGATGTATATTACAGTTTTCGTTCAGAGTTGGTATGATGACAAGACTAAATTAACCCCTGCACATGTTATTATCATGAACTCACTATGAAAATCTTCATCTATCCATCATTAAATTCCCATTTGACATCAATGTCTAGTAGTTATATAAAACTGTAATCCTAATGCATATACATTTTGCATAATCTCTGAAAAATCTTTCCCCATTGATATTTATGATTAGAAATGTGTTTAATCAACAAGTAATTTTGTTATTTAATTGTTTTGCTTTGTTGTATGTGACATTTCAATAAATCTGTTTCCTCTTTAGATTAATGTGGGAAATTCTATATCCATAATTGATGCGTTTTCCGCAGACTTTTCCATCATTTAATAATTCAGCTACTAACAGCCAAAGTACGGCAACAGCATATTAAGCAATTTAATGATAGTTTTCTTAACATATCATCACTGATTCACACATGTGCCTCATGCATCCAAATCACTCTAAATCGGTTTACTACATCTACAGAATAATTTGAAAAGTTATTTCAAAGGAACGTCATTAGTTCATCGTTCATTTATGCAGGCCCTATCAATCTAGCATATTATTATAATATGCATTATTAATGATGATGTCAGGTGATTACAGCAGTGCTGCGATACAGTGTACAAAGATATAATCATACAGTACTGTACATACCTCTTGAATTTGTAGATGAGAAACACTGCTAAACCCAGGAATACTACTGATAGGAGCATCAGCATGGCTGAACTGCTGTGTCTCGGGCTGGAATCCACCAAGGGTGCTGTAACAGAGGGTAGAGGAAGACCAACGTTAAACATAACAAGAACATAGCAACACAATAAAGGCTAATCTGGGATTGCCTTGGAGATTTTCTTGCTTCATTGCCACAATTGATCCTATACTGTATTGTATCACCAATAACAACCATGGGGTACAGTTGAGATATATTTTTTGCATCGCAATAGTCTGGTACAGTAGGGCTGTACATTCAATGCATATGCTTTACTTGAATCAATTAGTTTAAAACAAAATTGTATTATACAGGACCACAGTGTACAATAAAGTTTTGTTTTGGAGCCACAACATTGTCAAAAAACGATTCCCTTCCAGTGGCCCGTATACAGCAACAAATGTCATTTATTTTGTCTGATATGTGTGATGATGTAGTCTAGGCCCAAAACAACAGAGCTGGGACAAGGGACGACTTCGCCACCAAGTTTATGCAACAGTAAATAAATCCGGCTATGGATTATGGGTAGATCCACGGCAATGATAGTGCATTATGAGAACCTGCCCTGTTTATAATTTCACAGATTCAAAAGACGGCGGTAGTGTGAAATTGCTATTTCTAAATGGTTTCCTTTCCTCCAACTAAAACCCATCTGCTTAAAACAAGCATAGCAACATTCATATTCTGAGGTAAATGCTAAATTATGGTAAAAACTAGCCTTTTACAACACTTACTGTGGAATAAACTGGAAGTGTGTGATGCTGATTATCCTATTCAACACCTCCACCTCACCCTCTCTCTGGGGTATTACATTGACTTTGAAATGAATATTAATATATTTTATCAAAGGTAGAGCACAGTATATTTTCTACTTTGTATATTTTCCAGCCCCAGCTCTGTGATGTCGATGACCTTTCTGAAGCAGCTTGAAGGCTCTTCCCACCTTTTCTGAGGTGACACACCCACACACACAAATATTTTCCATTGTGAAGCAGGTTTTGTGTTGTTTCTGGGTGGACACTGGCAAATCATTTTAATTGCAGCCAAGAGTATTTATTTATTTGTCTCATTTCAAGCCAACACTCAAACTGGTGTAATGTTGATGATTCTTTTTATGCGATTCTGATTTCTGCATGCATTTATAACCAAACTTCCCAAGGACTAAATAATCAACATAATTATACTCAGCGCAACACTCATTTTGTGGTTGGATGGCTGTAAAAGACAGTGAACAGATGTTGGGCGTATTGATATAAAAGATCCGTTGTCTCAAGGATTTCCACTTAAAATAAAATCCATCCTCCCTTTCCTCCCATGTCCTCCTCCAATCTTCATACACCCAGGATGGTGACAAACAAACATATTATGCTATCCAAATATGGCTTATGAAGACATTATCTCCAGTAAATGACATTGCATTTATGACATCACAAAAAGAAACAAAAACAGTTAAAAAACAGGAGAATATGTAGAGAACATTTTGATTTCTCATGCAAGTACATACAGTTAATTTATGTAATTATCTTGATACTAACTTTTTTCCTTACCCAAAGTTAGCTGTGTGATGTAAACGATTACTCTTGCTCCTGGCTTTAGCTCGAACTCCACCAGATTCTGGTTGAGAGCGCTGGCAAGTATCTCAGAGATCTCTTGAAGGAGATGAAAGAAGCATAATTTAGTTAAACAATTGTCACCATTTACAGCTCTTTCAATTCACACGCTGCATATTTAAATAATATTTGCCATCTTGTCATGACACCCACCACATTGGTTCAGTTATCTCAATTGTCAGACTCGGGCGCGTAGAATTAATGTGTGTCATTTTAGCCATGACAATGTAATTATCCTATTGGGTGAATTTACGTGAAGGATTGGAAACAATTAGTCATATATGCCATGACAGAATTACAATGACACTCAAAATGTCAGTGTCCAATCTAACTGTCCCATACCTGCTCTAGCTCCTCCTCACTCTTTTTCCTGCCCTCTGATTGGTTCTTGTGTGGTAACAGGAGGAGCTCAGCGGCCGTTGGCACACCTGGAAACACTGCAACCAATAGCTGATCCTTTGGAAAGTCTGACACCTGTTGACAATGGACAGTACTGTTACAATGTGTTCATACTGGTATAGTATTCTTTGTCTACAGTCAAAAACAATGCTCTTAGAGTATATACATATTTAACATGTTTGAAATCAAAGGAGAGGGAGGTGACAACGAAATAGTTTTGGGCTTGACCAACATGTGTTGATAACCCAGTACAACCTACAGGTAAACAATGATACAATATGTCATCAAACCAATAGATGATAATCCAACAGTAATAGGACTTTCTTATCTCAACCGCCATTTTTTTCACGAAAGTGTATTTCTTTCTTGATGGGAAAAGTAGGTCTTGCCAACCAACTGTTTTTCCAGGTCTTCAAAATAGCTACTATTAAATGTTTTTTCTTTATAATGGCCTTTTTCCACTTCAGACCACCTATGAGGCAGGGGGTTCCAACCGGTAATCAGTGCCCATTTTAAAAGCCATTCATGTTTTAATGGGTTCTCTATGGGGCTATCGGCAGACAATGGAGTTCCGTAGTCGGCGAGTCACATACACTTGAAGCACATTAATTATCAAGCATAAAAATAGTATTTGAGTAGCAAAATAGTGGACAAATAGAGAGCAAAGGAATGACTCACAATGAGAGTAAAGAGGGATAGAAGCAAAGGAGAGGGATAGGGAAGGGGATGGGATACAATAGCCCCTGTAAAAATCAATACACTCAGGCCGGTTTGTTCTCTTTGCGATCACTCATTAGTCTAAAAAGCCTTCTGGCTCTGTGTGCTTGGGTAGCACTGGCATTTTATGTCCCCTAAAACTCATTGGCTGGAGTGAAACATCTGATTTGGGTTAAGGGAGGGGAGAAGGTGAGTCAGACTGAGTCAGATGAGTGAGCTTTTAGGAGGGAATTTTGGCCAAGCTCAAATGTGGCTGAAAAAACACGTCTGCCAGGCTTTATCTTGACGCTTTAATATTTGAACAGCAAAGGCTTTTGGAGCAGCTTCCTCACAATCTTACTGTATGCAAAGCTAAATAAACAGTGGTCAGTTACTAATTACTGTTGTAAACACACCATGATGTGGATTCAGTTTTTCATTCATCTTGAACTTGACCGTAACTATGAACTATGATGATACTGGGTTATTCTATCTTCATAACTCCTTCCATAGTGCATTATTTCCAACATTGTTGTGATAAATAGGTTATGATGATTCACCTATAACTATAATTTTATTATCTGATGTAAAGTACCGTCGTTACCCAGGAAAGGAAAGGGGGGGGGGGGGGGGGGGGGGGGGGGCGAGAGAGAAAAGTAGATGCCCAGAAGCAGTGCACTCTCTTGGGGAAAAAAGATGACATGTTAACCTCTTGCACCACACTGAGAGGTGCATTAACAGGTGGCGGTGAAACCAGCGGGGGGCTTCCGCGAAACATACAAAATTATATGAATTTACAGACAGTCACTGTCTAGTTTTTCCTAGCCACCGTACTTCTAGATCTGCATTGCTTGCTGTTTGGGGTTTTAGGCTGGGTTTCTGTATACATCTGCTGATGTAAATAGGGCTTTATAAATACAATTTGATTGATTGATTGATTGGAACCTGAGAGGGAGTCTTCTGCCATCTTCCATGTACCGCAAGTGGAGTAAAGAAGAAGCCGGAGAAACCGAAGATGGAATGACTTCTGAAAATAACTTCAAATAGCCTCTATTACTGAGCTCCCCATTCAAACCTCTATTAGGTGGTGGGTTGGAATCAGCTGAGGAGCAAAAGTGCAGCCCTGCCTGGCTCTCACTATTGTCAGCCATAGAGCTGTACTGTAGCACAGCAACACTGCAGTTTAATGGAACCTTACTTTAACTGCGATGTTGATGCCCCTTTTCCTTCTAATCGTCTTCACTTTATTAGGGGAGATGTTTACCTTGACACATGATGAACTGAATGCGAACCGCAGAAAGATAAAAATAAATGAAGAAAAAAATGTAATAACACTTTGTATGGCGGTTGTTGCACAATATCTAGGCTATGAACCAACTCTAGCAGTACATGGATGAATATGTCTTACAATGATTTCCTTTCAGAGAAAGGGTGAAAGAATGAAAGGAGGGATGGTTTGATAGCATTAAACTGCATATGTAAATGTTAACTAGTGTTCATAAACTCAATAGAGACCTGAGACCCATATACCGTTTAATGTATTTACTTTAGGTAATAAAAGGTTGTATAACAAAACTTTCTGTATGAAAATACTTGCTGTAACACTCTATTGAGCCTAGCAATTAATAACTCAAGCTAGAGCTATGGCTTTCTATAACTGAGTGTGCCCCTCAGTTCAACACAATTCAATTGGCTGGTGCTAAAACATCCCCATGGCATGATGCTGCCACCACCATGCTTCACCGTAGGGATGGTGCCAGGTTTTCTCCAGACGTGACGCTTGGCATTCAGGCCAAAGAGTTCAATCTTGGTTTCATCAGACCAGATAATCTTGTTTCCCATTGTCTGAGAGCCCTTTAGGTGCCTTTTGTCAAACTCCAAGCGGGCTGTCATGTGCCTTTTACTGAGGAGTGGGTTCCGTCTGGCCACTCTACCATAAAGGCCTGATTGGTGGAGTGCTGCAGAGATGATTGTCCTTCTGGAAGGTTCTCCTATCTCCATAGAGGAACTCTGGAGCTCTGTCAGAGTGACCATCGGGTTCTTGGTCACCTCCCTGACCAAGGCATTTCTCCGCCGATTGCTCAGTTTGGCCGGGCGGCCAGATCTAGGAAGAGTCTTGGTGGTTCCAAACTTCTTCCGTTTAAGAATGATGGAGGGCACTGTGTTGTTGGGGACCTTCATTTCTGCAGACATGTTTTGGTACCCTTCCCCAGATCTGTGCCTCAACACAATTCTGTATCGGAGCTCTACGGACAATTCCTTTGACCTCATGGCTTGTTCTTTTTGCTCTGACATGCACTGTCAACTGTGGGACCTTATATAGACAGGTGTGTGCCTTTCTAAATCATGTCCAATCAATTGAATTTACCACAGGTGGACTCCAATCAAGTTGTAGAAACACCTCAAGGATGATCAATGGAAACAGGATGCACCTGAGCTATATTTCGAGTCTCATATCAAAGGGTTTGGATACTTATGTAAATGTGATATTTCTGTTTTTAATGTATTTTTAATACATTTGCAAAAAGTTCTAAAAACCTATTTTTGCTTCATCATTTTGGGGTATTGTGTGTAGATTGATGAGGACAAAAATAGATTTAATCCATTTTAGAAAAGGCTGTAACGAAACAAAATGTGGAAATGTCAAGGGGCCTGAATACTTTCCGAATACAGCGTATGTTGCTCCCAGGTGACAAAGTGCAATTTATCCGTCACAAAGCTCACCCTGACCTCTATCACAGTAGCTCCCTCCACTGGCTCTCAGCCTAGCTCGCCTGAGTCGCCTCTCATGTCAAATCCACTGTGTAGTTGGTGAAGACACAGAGACCACAAGTCGCACGACATAGGCCTAAACCTCCACTCGAAGTGGAAGAATAACACACTTAACTATGTCATATTAGCGTTAGCTCTCCTCCGCAGATACTACGCACATCCAGTGCCCCGGTAATGGCTAAGATCGCCTTCATTCCAAGCTTATTCCGAAGAACGCATTTCATCGCTCCAACTTCTGAAAATAAGTTATTAGTGCTCATCAAGCTGCATCGAGGGAGGAAGAAGAAGCCGAGCCTCACACACCTGTGTGATAAAGAATCACAGGACAGCCCGAGGGCCAACGCCGAAGCGCCTGAGTGGATAGAAAGATACGAGAGAGAGGGAGAAAAAGAGAGAAGGAAGGAATTCACACTTACTTGGAGCAGAGCCTTCTTAATGACTCTCCCCACATCCTGTCTCCACTCGGGGACGTCAGGGTTGAACACGTCCAGATTAGGGGAGAAAGATAAAAGCAGAGATTTGAAGAACTCTGTCAGAGAGAGAGAACCAGGGGAGAAAAAGAAACAGACCGTTAATTCAGCTCCTGATCTAGGTGCATTATTCTGAAGGTATCCTCCTCATTCCCCACTGTCATTCGTTCTGGTTGTGTCCCTCCTCTAACTGTCTTCTGATGAGTGGGAAAGATGACAGAGATGTTGGTGTGTGTGAGGTGTGTGTGTGTGTCTTCATGGTTTGACAAGGGGAGATGATTGCTCGTACAAGTGCTTTCTTAGATAATTGGGGAAATGTCCTTTTCACATTTATCCTGACATATTCAAATGTAAAGTACCCTCAAACGTTGCATACCAAGTGAGATGGCTGCTAGATGTGCAAATTAGCATTACATCAAGTATAATTATTTGATTAGGGAGATCCGAGAGAGAGAGAGAGAGAAAGAGGGAGAGAGAGAGAGAGAGAGAGAGAGATAATACTGATCCTTACCTTGGACTGCTATCTTCTTGGTGTCTTGCAGAATGGTGTTGGCTGAAGACACTTGGACCGTAACAGTGTTCATTCCCTCGCTGGTGAAGGTGTATGAGATGCTCCCGTCTAAGCTGATCACCGGCTGGAGGAAGAGGGAACATGGACAAAATGGACGATCACACTTTGATCCGGTTATAATCCCTTCACCTAAAACCTTTACCTAAAACCCCGGAACATGAAAGAAACCCATTTCAGATTATAACAACTTCTCCTTGAACTTCTCACTTAGAGTAGTCAGAACTTTTGACTTGAGTAGTTAGAGTGGTCGAAATTCTGACTTGAGTAAAAGCCTACAAAAATCATCCTCCCCAAAAGACCTAGAAACAATGCAGCTAAGGTAATAACTTATGACATACTAACAAGACGTCTGAACAAAATACAAGATCAGAAACTGCTCCGCCTCTATCATAGCCACCTTTGATCATAGAAGAGGTCAATGTACCTAATACCATAGACATCATGTATACCTCATATAACATCAGTGGAGTCTACTGAAGGGAGGATGGCTCAGGGAAAAAAGTATTTGATCCCCTGCTGATTTTGTACGTTTGCCCACTGACAAAGACATGATCAGTCTATAATTTTAATGGTAGGTTTATTTGAACAGTAAGAGACAGAATAACAACAAAACAATCCAGAAAAACGCATGTCAAAAATGTTATAAATTGATTTGCATTTTAATGAGGGAAATAAGTATTTGACCCCTCTGCAAAACATGACTTAGTACTTGGTGTCAAAACCCTTGTTGGCAATCACAGAGGTCAGACGTTTCTTGTAGTTGGCCACCAGGTTTGCACACATCTCAGGAGGGATTTTGTCCCACTCCTCTTTGCAGATCTTCTCCAAGTCATTAAGGTTTCGAGGCTACATTTGGCAACTCGAACCTTCAGCTCCCTCCACAGATTGTCACAGGACCTTAATGTGCTTCTTCTTGAGCAACTCCTTTGTTGCCTTGGCCGTGTGTTTTGGGTCATTGTCATGCTGGAATACCCATCCACGACCCATTTTCAATGCCTTGGCTGAGGGAAGGAGGTTCTCACCCAAGATTTGACGGTTCATCGTCCCTTTGATGTGGTGAAGTTGTCCTGTCCCCTTAGCAGAAAAACACCCCCAAAGCACAACATTTCCACCTCATGTTTGATGGTGGGGATGGTGTTCTTGGGGTCATAGGCAGCATTCCTCCTCCTCCAAACACGGCGAGTTGAGTTGATGCGAAAGAGCTCCATTTTGGTCTCATCTGACCACAACACTTTCACCCAGTTCTCCTCTGAATCATTCAGATGTTCATTGGCAAACTTCAGATGGGCCTGTATATGTCCTTTCTTGAGCAGGGGGACCTTGCGGGCGCTGCAGGATTTCAGTCCTTCACGGCGTAGTTTGTTACCAATTGTTTTCTTGGTGACTATGGTCCCAGCTGCCTTGAGGTCATTGACAAGATCCTCCCGTGTAGTTCTGGGCTGATTCCTCACCGTTGTCATGATCATTGCAACTCCACGAGGTGAGATCTTGCATGGAGCCCCAGGCCGAGGGAGATTGACAGTTATTTTTTGTTTCTTCCATTTGAAGAATCGCACCAACGGTTGTCACCTTCTCACCAAGCTGCTTGGCGATGGTCTTGTAGCCCATTCCAGCCTTGTGTAGGTCTACAATATTGTCCCTGACATCCTTGGAGAGCTCTTTGGTCTTGGCCATGGTGGAGAATTTGGAATCTGATTGATTGATTGCTTCTGTGGACAGGTGTCTTTTATACAGGTAACAAACTGAGATTAGGAGCACTCCCTTTAAGAGTGTGCTCCTAATCTCAGCTCGTTACCTGTATAAAAGACACCTGGGAGCCAGAAATCTTTCTGATTGAGAGGGGGTCAAATACTTATTTCCCTCATTAAAATGCAAATCAATTCATAACATTTTTGACATGTGTTTTTCTGGATGGTTTTGTTGTTATTCTATCTCTCACGTTCAAATAAACCTACCATTAAAATTATAGACTGATCATTTCTTTGTCAGTGGGCAAACTTACAAAATCAGCAGGGGATCAAATACTTTTTTCCCTCACTGTAGTAATGGCTGAAGTGGAATGGAACTGGAATGGAAACCATGTCTTTGATGTGTTAAATGCTGTTCCATTTATTCCGTTCCAGCCATTACAATAATCCCGTCCTCCGATTTAGTTAAAATGACACCAGCCACCACTGCAGTACATGTACAGTACATGGCATTATAGGGTAAGACCCATTTTGAATAGTGTCAGTTTACCTCTACTAATGTTGTACAGTATATTGTATACTATACACAACATCAGAAGAGGATCTGTGTCTGCTCAATGTGGTCTCACTACTGGAGTCCCACAGGGCTCGGTTCTAGGCCCTCTTCTCTGTACACCAAGTGTTTTAAGTCCAGTTTACCTCAGTGCTGTTCCCAAGCCACCAGAAGTAGCTGAGAGTCCTGGAGTGTATTGGCCAGACCACTGCTGTTAGGTGTACTTCCTTGTTCTTGATGGCCACAAATTGAGCCAGCAGCTGGATATGTTCCACAGCACCTGATACAAACACAGAGGATGATTCAGACTCAGCTTTGGATGATTTAGACTCAGTATTGGATGATTCAGACTCAGTATTGGATGATTCAGACTCAGTATTGGATGATTCAGACTCAGTATTGGATGATTCAGACTCAGTATTGGATGATTCAGACTCAGTATTGGATGATTCAGACTCCGTATTGGATGATTCAGACTCCATATGGGATGATTCAGACTCAGTATTGGATGATTCAGACCCAGTACTGGATGATTCAGACTCAGTATTGAATGATTCAGACTCAGTATATGATTGTAATTACATGGATATTGTTTCAGGCTACCTACTTTATAATATGAAAAGCACTCGCACATCGAAATATTAGTTTTACAGGGGCATGGGAAAAAAGAAATAGAAACCTTCTTAAACTAAGAATTAGAGACAAGAAGATCCCTCACACTGCGCTTGCCAGTATGTTTTTGTCGTGATACCTTGTGAGTAATACTGTGGTCTGCCATGCTGAGACCGTAATGGAAGCTGACGTGGGGAACGTGGCATTACCGTCATCTAAGCGGTGAAGTTTCCTATAGCGGAGAGATATAACACAGTATTTTAACAGTAAAACTCTGTTTTGACTCTGCGCTCTAGCGTGTACGTCTCCGCCTGGGCTTCTGTTAACTCTTATCCTCTTTAACTGAGACTAATCTTTATCCTTATCCTAGCTTTCAAACGCATGCAGTGTATGTGTGTCTGTGTGTGTGTGGGTGTGTGTGAATGTGTGTGTGTGTTTGTGTGTGTGTGATGTGTGTGACAGAGAGAGAAAGCCTGTGTATCTGTGTGTGTGTCCCTTTTAAGCCTGTGTCTATGTGGATGTGTATGTGCGTGTGTGTTGAGTGTGTGTGTGCGGGCGCGTGAGTCATTTGGACAGTCTCCCTAAACTGTGTTTGGTGTTAAAAATATTCCAGTTGGAAATCTGTGGCAGCTTCGTGCTTGGCACATCGCTAAAAGCATCGCATGCACGCTCTCTGTGTAAATTACCTAAAAATGTACCAAACCATGGAGAAAAAAACACCAGCAGAATCAATGCCATCAAAAATATCAAAGTACACTGATTGAAAGTATCGTGGCGACCAGAAACAACATTTTAATGGCACCTTGTCACGGTTTCGGCTGAGGCTGCTCCTTCTCCTTGTTCGGGCAGGCTTCGGCGGTCGTCGTCCCCGGAGTACTAGCTGCCACCGTTCGTTGTGTCTGTATGTGTTTGGTTTGGTCTGATTTGTTACACCTGTTGCTCATTTCGTCTTGATTATGTGTCCTTAAAGTTCTCGTTGTTTCTGTCTTGTGGTTGTGTGTAGTTGTTCTATGTCAGCAGGTGTTGCCAGTCAGTTTGTGCTCTATGTTCTTAGAGAGTCCGCACGTTGTGCGTTTGTTGTACTTTTACGCTGAGTGCGTTTATTTTTCCCTTGTTCAACCGGCTCTGTTTATAGCCGTTGTTTCTGTGGACTTTATTATAGTGTTTTTGGACTTGCATCTGCATCCTGCAATTGATTCCACACCACACCTACGCCCGGCCTTGACAGAACTACACACCAATCATGGAATCAGCAGGAGCAGCAGCAGCGACCGAGTCATGGGAGGAGCGCGTCCGCGGACAGGATGACAGGATAGCCCAGATCACCAACGCATTACAAGGAGTAATGAATACCCTGCATCGCCTGGAGACCAGTTGGGCACCCACACCTCCTCCCACAGTACCACCAGCACCGGTAAGTCCCTTAGTCCACGCTCCGGAACCCAGTGGGATTCGGCTCTCGCTCCCGAGGGCGTATGATGGTACCGCTGCCGGGTGTCAAGGTTTCCTCCTACAAGTAGAACTCTACCTCGCCACCGTACACCCGGTGCCCTCGGGACACGAGAGCGTTTCCGCCCTCATCTCCTGTCTCACCGGCAAGGCGTTGGAGTGGGCCAACGCCGAATGGAGGAGAATAGACCCCGCGACGATCACCTATGCGGAGTTCTCCCGTCGCTTCAGGGCTGTATTCCACCATCCACCTGAGGGGAAGGCGGCGGGAGAACGTCTATTCTACCTCCGACAGGGGAAGAGGAGCGCACAGGATTTTGCACTGGAGTTCCGGACTCTAGCGGCAGACGCAGGGTGGAATGAGCGGGCCCTCATAGACCACTTCCGCTGCAGCCTACGGGAGGACGTCCGTCGTGAGTTGGCCTGCAGGGACACCACCCTCACGTTTGACCAGTTAGTTGACATGGCCATTCGCCTCGACACCCTGTTGGCCACCCGCGGACGTCCTGAGTGGGGGTCGTCCATTCCACCCTCCAGCACCTCCGAGCCTAGTCCTATGGAGCTCGGGGGTGCTGGCGCTAGAGAGGAGAGGAGAAGGAGCCCCAGGGGAACCAACCCCTGTACCTACTGTGGCCGTGGAGGACACACTGCGGCCAGGTGCTGGGGGGGGTCTCCTAGGGGGAGAGACGGCAGGCCACGCTCTGGGGAGTCCCTCCAGGTGAGTAGGCGCCCCACTTACCCAGAGCTCTCTGTTGATCACCTAACCATACCTGTTTGCTTCCCACAGGTTGCACCTCATTCCCAGCATAAGGCGCTAGTAGATTCAGGCGCAGCTGGGAATTTTATAGATCGGCGATTTTGTGCTGAGTTAGGGATTCCCCTCCTTCCAGTCAGTAGTCCCTTCCCTGTACATGCTTTAGATAGCCGTCCGTTGGGATCGGGGTTGATTAGGGAGGTCACAGCTCCACTTAGGATGGGGACGCAGGAGGGTCATGAGGAGACTATTCAGCTATATCTTATAGACTCTCCTGCGTATCCGGTGGTGCTGGGGCTTCCCTGGTTGATTACTCATAATCCCTCTATTTCGTGGCAACAGAGGGCTCTCAAGGAGTGGTCTGTCCAGTGTGTAGGGCGATGTCTGGGCGTTTCCGTAGGGGCGACCTCGGTGGAAAGTCCAAACCAACTGCTGGCATTGCACATTCCCCCCGAGTATGATGATTTAGCAATTGTGTTTAGTAAAGCGAAGGCGACGCAATTGCCACCACATAGACAGGGGGATTGTGCGATAGACCTCCAGGTAGGAGCTGCGCTTCCGCGGAGCCATGTGTATCCTCTGTCTCAAGAGGAGAAGAGAGCTATGGAGACTTACATAGCCGAGTCTCTGAGACAGGGATACATACGGCCCTCCACTTCCCCTGCGTCCTCGAGTTTCTTTTTTGTGAAGAAAAAGGATGGAGGTTTGCGCCCGTGTATTGATTACCGCAGTCTCAATCAGATTACTGTGAAATACAGTTATCCACTCCCTCTGATTGCGACTATGACGGAGTCTTTACACGGGGCGCGTTTCTTCACAAAATTGGATCTCAGGAGCGCATACAACTTGGTGCGTATTAGGGAGGGAGACGAATGGAAGACTGCATTTAGTACCACCTCGGGTCATTACGAGTATCTCGTCATGCCATACGGGTTAATGAATGCTCCTTCAGTCTTCCAATCCTTCGTTGATGAGATCTTCCGGGATATGCAGGGGCAGGGAGTGGTCGTGTACATTGACGACATTCTAGTATATTCTTCTACCCGAGCCGAGCATGTAGCCCTGGTGCGCCAAGTATTGAGGAGATTGTTGGAGCATGATCTGTATGTCAAGGCAGAGAAATGTCTGTTTTTCCAGGAGTCTGTCTCCTTTTGGGTTATCAGTTGTCTGCGTCAGGGGTTAAGATGGAGGTTGACCGTGTGTCGGCCGTGCGTAATTGGCAAACTCCAACTACTGTTAAAGAGGTGCAGCGGTTCTTGGGTTTTGCGAATTACTACAGGAGGTTTATCCGGGGTTTTGGACAGGTGGCAGCTCCCATAACGTCTCTACTAAAGGGAGGTCCGGTGCGCTTGCAGTGGTCTGCTGAGGCGGATAGGGCTTTTGGGAGACTGAAGGACCTGTTTACCTCGGCGCCGGTGTTGGCGCATCCGGATCCCGCACTCCCATTCCAGGTCGAGGTAGACGCGTCTGAAGCCGGTATAGGGGCCGTGCTCTCGCAACGATCTGGCACGCCCCTGAAACTCTGCCCCTGTGCTTTTTACTCTAAAAAGCTCAGTCCGGCGGAGCGAAATTATGACGTGGGGGACAGGGAGCTGCTAGCCGTGGTCCAGGCCCTAAAGGTGTGGAGGCATTGGCTAGAGGGGGCTCAACACCCTTTCCTCATTTTGACAGAACACCGAAACCTGGAGTACATCCAGGCAGCTAGGAGACTGAACCCTCGCCAGGCTAGGTGGAATATGTTTCTGGCCCGGTTCGTTTTTAAGATCACGTACATCCCTGGGTCCCAGAATGGTAAGGCAGATGTTCTGTCCCGGCGGTATGACACGGAGGAGAGGTCCGTTGAGCCCACGCCCATACTCCCGCCGTCTTGCCTGGTGGCACCGGTGGTGTGGGAGGTCGATTCCGAAATCGAGCGGGCGTTGCGTACCGATCCTAGCCCTCCACAGTGTCCTGTGGGTCGGACGTACGTGCCGTTCGAGGTTCGGGATCGACTTATATATTGGGCTCACACGTCACCCTCCTCTGGACATCCAGGGATTGGCCGGACGGTGCACTGCCTTAGCACTAAGTACTGGTGGCCAACGTTAGCCAGGGATGTGAGGGTTTATGTTTCCTCCTGTTCGGTATGTGCCCAGTGTAAGGCACCCAGACATTTGCCCAGGGGTAAGTTACAACCCCTGCCCGTTCCACAACGACCCTGGTCTCACCTCTCGGTGGATTTCGTTACTGATCTTCCCCTCTCCCAGGGAAATACCACCATCCTGGTCGTTGTGAATCGGTTCTCGAAGGTCTGTCGTCTCCTTCCCATGCCGGGTCTTCCCACTGCCCTACAGACCGCTGAGACACTATTCACTCACGTCTTCCGGCATTACGGGGTACCCGAGGATATAGTGTCTGATCGAGGCCCCCAGTTTACCTCTCGAGTCTGGAGAGCGTTCATGGAGCGCTTGGGGGTCTCGGTGAGCCTTACCTCGGGGTACCACCCGGAGAGCAATGGGCAGGTTGAACGAGTAAACCAGGATGTGGGTAGGTTTCTGAGGTCGTATTGCCAGGGCCGGCCGGAGGAGTGGGCGAGATATGTTCCCTGGGCCGAGATGGCACAGAACTCTCTCCGCCACTCCTCCACTAAACTAACCCCTTTCCAGTGTGTGTTAGGGTACCAGCCGGTTCTGGCACCTTGGCATGAGAGCCAGATCGAGGCCCCTGCGGTGGATGAGTGGGTGCGGCGCTCGGAGGAGACGTGGAACGCTACTCACGTACATCTGCAGCGGGCCACCCGTTGACACAAGGCGAGCGCCGATCTCCACCGCAGTGAGGGACCGGTGTACGCACCGGGAGATCGAGTCTGGCTCTCGACCAGAAACCTGCCCCTCCGCCTGCCCTGCCGGAAGCTGGGTCGGCGGTTTGTGGGGCCTTTTAAAGTCCTGAGGAGGTTGAACGAGGTGTGTTACAGATTACAACTTCCTATTGAGTATAAGAATATTAACCCCTTGTTCCATGTGTCTCTCCTCAGGCCGGTGGTAGCTGGTCCACTCCAGGAGTGTGAGATAGCAGAGACTCCTCCGCCCCCGCTGGACATCGAGGGGGCTCCGGCGTACACAGTTCGGTCCATCCTGGATTCGAGACGCCGGATGGGGGGTCTCCAATATCTTGTGGAGTGGGAGGGGTACGGTCCGGAGGAGTGGTGCTGGGTGCCGAGGAGAGATATCTTAGACCCGTCTCTTCTGACTGAGTTCCATCGTGGTCATCCCACGCGCCCTGCTCCGCGTCCTCCTGGTCGTCCCCGAGGCCGGGGTCGGCGCACGGCTGGAGCCGCGCGTCAAGGGGGGGGTACTGTCACGGTTTCGGCCGAGGCTGCTCCTTCTCCTTGTTCGGGCAGGCTTCGGCGGTCGTCGTCCCCGGAGTACTAGCTGCCACCGTTCGTTGTGTCTGTGTGTGTTTGGTTTGGTCTGATTTGTTACACCTGTTGCTCATTTCGTCTTGATTATGTGTCCTTTAAGTTCTCGTTGTTTCTGTCTTGTGGTTGTGTGTAGTTGTTCTATGTCAGCAGGTGTTGCCAGTCAGTTTGTGCTCTATGTTCTTAGAGAGTCCGCACGTTGTGCGTTTGTTGTACTTTTACGCTGAGTGCGTTTATTTTTCCCTTGTTCAACCGGCTCTGTTTATAGCCGTTGTTTCTGTGGACTTTATTATAGTGTTTTTGGACTTGCATCTGCATCCTGCAATTGATTCCACACCACACCTACGCCTGGCCTTGACACACCTTCACGTCTCTTGTTCAAACCCCCTCGTCTCTCGATCAAATCAAGAGATGAGGGGGCAATTCAAACACTGCACTGCAAAGAGCTGGATAATTCTTGATGCCTTTTAGACATAAGCATGTTATATTTGTCACTATTATTTACTTGAAATTTGGCTTGTTCATTACAAGATGAAAAGAGCAAGACAGCATCAATGTGCTGTACTATGTGCAAAGCATTCTGGTACTTTGCCTATAACTGGCTCCATTGTACACTGCGGTATACTTAGTAAGGTGGTTATTTACAGAGAAATATGAGGCAGATATATTCAATTATGATCCTTGAGAACCACATCACTGTTGTTTTCCATCCTTTCCCTCCAATCAGGGACTGATTCAGACCTGGGTCACCAGGTGAGCGCCTACTCTGGCCAATCAATGGCCGACGTCACAGTAACTGACCAATTCTCTAACAGGTGCAGTACAAACGAAAACCAGAAGTACATAAGTCCTCGATGGTTGGAATTGAATAGCCCTGACACAATAGCTGAATGTATAGAGGTGACGTACATGTAGCATGGAGGTACAAGGTGGTGGTATAAAATCCCAGGGTGTTCTCCTCCAAGGCCGAGACACGGAATATCCCAGCCGTCTTGTAAACGTGTCTGATCCCCTCTTCGATCCAGCTCAGGTTGGAGTAGGAGACTGCCATCCCATCTCCGAAATCCAGTTGGATGTTGGTTCTCATTGAGTCACCCTGGAAAGCAAGTAAAGTCTCAAGTAAGGACTACAGATGAAGAAAGAAAGAAAGACAGAAAGAAAGAAAGAGTCCCAAACATCATTATTATTTAAAAACACACAATTATATTGTATTTGAGAGCCCAGCCAGATGATTGTACTTGTGTTTATTCTAGACTTAAATACATATTTTTGTTGAAATGGGGTTCAATACAATGCCCCAAAACCACAGTACCACTCAGTAATCAGCACTCAGCATGCATGGACACAGGCAGGGCATCATTCTTTGTTTTTGTCAAAAGTCCAAGAGCTGGTGTTGTGACACATCTACATTAGCGTGCATCCTGAGTCTGACATGTTACATAACACCACTGGGAGTGTCTGGCTCCTGTGGTGTGTGTGTGTGTGTGTTTATGTGCACGTACGTGTTGTGTGTGCGTGTGTATATGTGTGTGATGGAGAGAGAGAACCACAGGGAGGTGGAGGCAGTGTAGTAATCAAGAGACAGTAGGGTGGCAGGTACACTAGTCAACAGACTGCTGGGTTACATTCACACACAGACAAAAGCAGTCAGAACCAGCCGAAGCATTTGGGATGCATCATATTCTGCACCACCGTGAGAGCAGCGTGTTTGCCTGTTACTGCTAATGAGGTGTGTGTGTCTCTCTCTCTCTCTGTGTGTGTTTGTGTATGAGTGCTCTGCCACTACAGTATCTGCAGCAGGTCTACTCAGGGGGGTTACATCTGGCACTTCCCTAGGATCAACAGCCAACACACACACACACAAAACAAAGAACAAACACGCACAAAACCATGTGGGAACCAGAGGGTTAAATAGGGAAATAATATAATGTAATGGGAACCAGGTGTGTACAATCAAGACAAAACAAATGGAAAAACAAACGCCACCCAAACAAGGAGAGGCACCAACCCCTCTCTCTCTCTCTCTCTCTCTCTCTCTCTCTCTCTCTCTCTCTCTCTCTCTCTCTCTCTCTCTCTCTCCTTTTCAAGCGCAGCAGAGTGTGAAAAACACGGGAGGGTTTGCTGTGGAGGAAGGCTCTGGGGGTATATTTCACGCCATTGTACCCAGAAAATGATAAACTATGAATAAGCAGAATAAAGAATGGTAGATTAGAATGGAAGAAAAGGGATAACAGTGGCGGCTATTGTGTGGAACTGTAATGGCCCACAATCCTTTGCCAAAATGGCACTCGGAATGGCACTTAGGTCTACGGTGGCGTAGATGTCATTCCGGCTTTTGTTGGTGTCCGTTGTTGACACTCTCTGGACATTTCTAGTTCTCTATCGAGGTGTCCTGGGATCACTAGCTAATCTGCATGAGACTGATGCTGACATGCTGGCTAAATGTCAAGCTTTGTGTCCATGGGTCCGTGTGTGACTCAGAGGGCCAACAAATCCGAAACGCATAATAGGGTCTGGACAGCAGTGCTGGTTGACAATAAGGTGTTTTGTTAGTTCAGATCCAGGCACAGTAGGACTGTGTAATGTATTCATGTTCAGGTGAATGTCAACACACTAAGGATGTTGTAAACGGTGTGATGTCAGTGCTGTCATGCTGACGGTGTGTCATACCTGGGTTCAAATAATTTTTGCTTTCTTTCAAATGCTTTGAGCATTTGATTGAGCCTGCCTGGAGAGCTAGATGGACGGATTTGCATTTTTCAGAACTTCCATTGGTTCTGGTTGGTGTACACATGACATGCTATAAGGTAGCTAATGTACAGTAAATCTGGTTGGTGTACACATTACATGCTGTAAGGTAGCTAATATACAGTAAATCTGGTTGGTGTACACATGACATGCTATAAGGTCACTTTGTGATAATGAAATGTTGACGTGTGACAGTACAGATCCTATCCCTCTGTCAAAACATCAAACTTTCTTCCACCTCTCTCTCTCCTTTTTTTTGATTTTCTGAACTGTCAAAGGCATCAGTGAATTGCGGTGGGCGAAGTCAAACGCAGGACACAGAGCTTATCCGAAACGTACTTTACTTGAAAGTAAACTGAGCATATACAATCTCCACAAAGGGAGGAAATAACCGATCACGAATACAATCACACACAACACACAGTGTACGGCAGAGGGTTAAATAGGGAAGACAATACAACATAATGGGAAACAGGTGTACATAATCAAGACATAACAAGTCTAACACAGAAACATGGATCGGTAGCAGCTAGTACTCCGGTGACGACGAACGCCGAAGCCTGCCCGAGCAAGGAGGAGGAGCAGCCTCGGCTGAATCCGTGACATGAACACATTAAATATTTAGGCCCATTTGCTCTCCCCAAGAAATACTGCCATCTTGGGCTTCATGAATATAAATTAAAGTCTGAATTCAACGGGAGCGAAGGATTTTCCAAATGCATAAGACCCAACGCCATGAGGATTCTTCACCTCCATTAGTCTCCTCAACTCATCACACTGTAATATGACAGCTTGTCCCGGGAGAGACCTCGTGGAAGAGACACTTACTTCTCAGCAGCAGTGCAGGTGGAAAGCACAACCGTACAGAGCAGAGCGCTACCACACTTATTCCACCTGAATGTAATGTGATGTGGTTTAAAAGTGTCTACGGAGTAAGGGGAGCAAGGTAAGGCCCTGGCCCTGGAAGGAGGCTACTCTGCGTCTATCACTCTATAACAGGGTCTCCAGGGTGCATCACTCTCCAAGGTCTTTAGCTCTTACTCTGTCTCCGGGCTTGGGGCTCAGTGCCTGTAGCTGTGTGTGGGTGATGTTATGTTACAAGTTACTACTAAACTTTCAGCAGTTGGTGTATATGGGATGACATAACAGGGAAATAATTTCAGGCGTATGCCTGGAGAAACATCCATGTTGAACATATGGGAAACACATCAATATTTCACTCAGTAACATAGGTCTACATTGAGTGAGTTGTGCACCACATGCTAGTACTACTTTTACAACCATGCATAACAATACAAAACACATTGATTTTTCATTCCATGGCTTAAGGTAAAAATCAATGCAACTCATAACAGTAATGTATACAACGGCGTCCATTTGGGCTCCAAGGCCCAGAACAATGATATACAAAAAGGAGGCCATTTTGGCTTTTGGCCAAGCCCTACCTCATCTAGATGCACCAGGAATGTGACGTTGGTGTACAGGTCGGCGGTAAGCTTGCCCTCTCTGGTGGAGAGAGAAAGGCCTTTTGGAGCCCTTTTGGGACACATCTGCTTCCTGGGTGTGTACATGTCCTTGACTCCCTTGATGCAGTTGTTGGACACCACTTTTCGGTACCTTAGGAAGATTCCATATGAATGAGTTAGGACATGTTTAGTGTGGTTTACTGAGGTTATGGCTTCATGACGCTACTTGTTAACAAGGCTAAGGTATTGGTCACGTTCATCAATGAAGCTGACAAGAAATCGTATATTTTAAATTTTTTACCTCAAAGTGATTGTGGAAGTGACAGAGCTAGTGAACAAGACTTGCTATTCTTTGACTAAATTAAAAAATGCTTAGTAACTACTAAACAAAACATTACGTTTAACACTGAAAGTTAATGTTTGACACAAGACGTACAGTAGTTGTCGGTCACATTGACAAAACTCCAAAATGCTTACTAACTCCTAGACAAAACTTGACTTTTAACCTTGGGGAAGCGAATGCATAAATGAAGGATGTACCGTTCTCCTCAGACCTCAGCCATCCTGAGGCATCCTAATCTGTGTCCTAGGACTCCTGACAGTGCTTTGTAGCTCTCAGCAGTACACTATGTCACTCAGTATAGATCTACTGTCTGGTGAATGACTCAGGCCTAAATATCCAATATCACTATTCACACTAGGAGCCGTGCCAGTGGGTGTGACACCCTGACAGTGTTTCATTACAGTGGGAAGATGGGAAGATGATGAAGCATTGGCCAACCTATACAGAGAGATACTGTAGCTACTGTAAGCTTTAATGTGTTTTTGTAGTTCTCTTTTGAAATGTGTTATACCTATTCAGGCTTTTTATCATATTATGACCAACATAATGCTTTACAAAATGAAATGGAAAACATTCTAAAAACACAGAAAAATATTTGACTTTTCATTGAGCAGAAATATACAAAAGGGTTGCCTTCACTTAGAATAGACAACATAGAAACGCTACAAAATAGTGTCCCTATGTGCAACTCACCGTGTGCTGTTGAGGTAGTTCTGTCCTTGGCTGCAGCTCCTTGATACAACAGCTGGGTTGAACCAGAACGCTGGTAGACAGTTCTCTTCTCTACGCCGTTCAAAGCCATAATCACTATAACAAATCACATACAGAATGTGATCAATATCAACACTTTGCCTCTACCTACTGTATTTGCACATATCAACTTCAATTACCTCATATCCTGCACATATCTCTTCCATCCTATCATCTCTTCCCTCTGCTCAATCCTTCTCCCTCCAATATCCTGATTCTGCCTCCTCAACCCTCCTCTCCTCCCTTTCTGCATCCTTTGACTCTCTATGTCCCCTATCCTCCCGGCCGGCCCGGTCCTCCCCTCCAGCTCCGTGGCTTGATGACTCATTGCGAGCTCACAGAACAGAGCTCCGGGCAGCTGAGCGGAAATGGAAGAAAACTAGACTCCCTGCAGACCTGGCATCTTTTCACTCCCTCCTCTCTACATTTTCTTCATCTGTTTCTGCTGCTAAGGCCACTTTCTACCACTCTAAATTCCAAGCATCCGCCTCTAACCCTAGGAAGCTATTTGCCACATTCTCCTCCCTGCTGAATCCCCCCCCCTGACGACATCAGATCCTCGTTTGTTAAGTCAAATGACACTGCTGGTCCTGCTCACACTGCCCTACCCTATGCTTTGACTTCTTTCTCCCCTCTCTCTCCAGATAAAATCTTGCGACTTGTGACGGCAGGCCGCCCAACAACCTGCCCGCTTGACCCTGTCCCCTCCTCTCTTCTCCAGACCATCTCCGGTGACCTTCTCCCTTACCTCACCTCGCTGATCAACTCATCCTTGACCGCTGGCTATGTCCCTTCCGTCTTCAAGAGAGCGAGAGTTGCACCCCTTCTCAAAAAACCAACACTCGATCCCTCTGATGTCAACAACTACAGACCAGTATCCCTTCTTTCTTTTCTCTCCAAAACTATTGAGCGTGCCGTCTTTAGCCAACTCTCTTGCTATCTCTCTCAGAATGACCTTCTTGATCCAAACCAGTCAGGTTTCAAGACTGGTCATTCAACTGAGACTGCTCTTCTCTGTGTCACAGAGGCTCTCCGCACTGCTAAAGCTAACTCTCTCTCCTCTGCTCTTGTCCTTCTAGACCTGTCTGCTGCCTTTGATACTGTGAACCATCAGATCCTCCTCTCCACCCTCTCCGAGCTGGGCATCTCCGGCGCGGCTCACTCTTGGATTGCGTCCTACCTGACCGGTCGCTCCTACCAAGTGGCGTGGCGAGAAGCTGTCTCTGCACCACGTGCTCTCACCACTGGTGTCCCCCAGGGCTCAGTTCTAGGCCCTCTCCTATTCTCGCTATACACCAAGTCACTTGGCTCTGTCATATCCTCACATGGCCTCTCCTATCATTGCTACGCTGACGACACACAACTAATCTTCTCCTTTCCCCCTTCTGATAACCAGGTGGCGAATCGCATCTCTGCATGTCTGGCAGACATATCAGTATGGATGACGGATCACCACCTCAAGCTGAACCTCGGAGAGACGGAGCTGCTCTTCCTCCCGGGGAAGGACTGCCCGTTCCATGATCTCGCCATCACGGTTGACAACTCTGTTGTGTCCTCCTCCCAGAGTGCGAAGAGCCTTGGCGTGACCCTGGACAACACCCTGTCGTTCTCCGCTAACATCAAGGCGGTGACCCGATCCTGTAGGTTCATGCTCTACAACATTCGAAGAGTACGACCCTGCCTTACACAGGAAGCGGCACAGGTCCTAATCCAGGCACTTGTCATCTCCCGTCTGGATTACTGCAACTCGCTGTTGGCTGGGCTCCCTGCCTGTGCCATTAAACCCTACAACTCATCCAGAATGCCGCAGCCCGTCTGGTGTTCAACCTTCCCAAGTTCTCTCACGTCACCCCGCTCCTCCGCACACTCCACTGGCTTCCAGTTGAAGCTCGCATCTGCTACAAGACCATGGTGCTTGCCTACGGAGCGGTGAGGGGAACGGCACCTCCGTACCTTCAGGCTCTGATCAGTCCCTACACCCAAACGAGGGCACTGCGTTCATCCACCTCTGGCCTGCTGGCTCCCCTACCTCTGCGGAAGCATAGTTCCCGCTCAGCCCAGTCAAAACTGTTCGCTGCTCTGGCACCCCAATGGTGGAACAAGCTCCCTTACGACGCCAGGACAGCGGAGTCACTCACCACCTTCCGGAGACATTTGAAACCCCACCTCTTTAAGGAATACCTGGGATAGGATAAAGTAATCCCTCTACCCCCCCCCCCCCCCCCCCCCCTTTCCCCCAACCCCCCCCCCCCCCCCAAAAAAAAAAAAAAACATTGTAAAGTGGTTATCCCACTGGCTATAAGGTGAATGCACCTATTTGTAAGTCGCTCTGGATAAGAGCGTCTGCTAAATGACGTAAATGTTAATGTAAATGTAAATGTACTGGTACCCATTGTAAATAGCCAATGTAAGTTATCATTAATCATTGTATTTATTATTATTTTTCTACATTTTTGTCTCTGCATTGTTGGAAAGGGCCCGTAAGTAATCATTTCACTGTTAGTCTACATCTGCTGTTTACGAAGCATGTGATTAATACAATTTGATATGATTTTGATCCAAAGGACATACAGTATTACTGTGTTATATGTTACAGCTTCTCTCTCCTATCCCCTCAGCACAATACATATAATAGCTATTGTTTTGCATTGCAACGCATCATTATTATATATTGATTGGGCTGCAGTTGACAAATGCTCCAGATCAGCAGAGCTAGGAAGACTGAGCCCTGGGGGACTCCATGTCAACACAGGCAATACAGGCTGACTTCCACCGGCTGATGTTAGCTACCTCCCAATCACAAAGGGATTTACATCGGGCAAAGCAGGTTAGGCAAGTGCCCATTCTAATAATGACGCTGTCATTGATTAATCAATTAATTACCTAGCCAGAACTAACAAAGAAGCAACGAAGCCTGAGGTCCCTCTAGGACTCCCTATGGCCGGGTCTGGCTTCAGTGTGATTAGGAACCCCCCAATTTATTGACAGGCTGTCAAGTGAAGTTATGATGTTATGGTTGGTCTGGATAATAGTTATAAGGGACCAAGTGAGTCCAATGAGGGTACAGTTTCCAGTTAAGGACATTACAGCACCACATAATCACAGCTTTGGTAATGCAAGTCAAACAAAAACATGGTGTCCAGTTTAGTACATTATAGTCGTGCAGACTCCTATGATGTTCTGGTTACACATTAATACTAATCTCTCCTCACTTATTATTCGATTTTAGATTTTAGATTTTAGTCATTTAGCAGACGCTCTTATCCAGAGCGACTTACAGTTTTAGTGAGTGCATACATTTTTTCATACTGGCCCCCCGTGGGAATTATTATTAATATAATATATCAAGTGTTATATCAATGTATATACACTGAACAAAAATATAAACACAACATGTAAAGTGTTGGTCCCATGTTTCATGAGCTGAAAAGATCCCAAAATGTTCCATATGCACAAAAAGCTTATTTCTCTCAAATGTTGTGCACAAATTTGTTTACATCCCTGTTAGTGAGCATTTCTCCTTTGTCAACATAATCCATCCACCTGACAGGTGTGGCATATCAAGAAGCTGATTAAACAGAATGATAATTACACATGTGCACCTTGTGATGTGGACAATAAAAGGCCACTAAAATGTGCAGTTTTGTCACACAACACAATGCCACAGATGTCTCAAGTTTTGAGGGAGCGTGCAATTGGCATGCTGACTTCAGGAATGTCCACCGGAGCTGTTGCCAAAGAATTGAATGTTAATTTCTCAACCATAAGCCACCTTCAACGTCGTTTTAGAGAATTTGGCAGTACGTCCAACCGGCCTCACAACCGCAGACCACGCGTATAGCATCGTGTGGGCAAGCGGTTTGCTGATGTCAACATTGTGAACAGAGCGCCCCATGGTGGCTGTGGGGTTATGGTATGGGCAGGCATAAGCTACGGACAAGGAACACAATTGCATTTTATCGACGGCAATTTAAATGCACAGACAAGATCCTGAGGCCCATTGTGAATTTTTTTTTTTTTAAGGTATCTGTGACCAACAGATTGCATATCTGTATTCCCAGTCATGTGAAATACATAGAATAGGGCCTAATTAATTTCTTTCAATTGACTTATTTCCTCATATGAACTGTAAGTCAGTAAAATCGTTGAAATTCACGTCACGTTTATGTCACATTTCATGTCACGTTTATATTTTTGTTCAGTATGTAACCTCTGATTTCAGTCTAGTCACTGTCCCACTTTGGAATCAACGCCTGGACCTTATTTTCACAGCACAACAGAACAAAAGGCCGGTGCATTGTCACCCTCTTACGAAATACGCAATCAGTAAACATTTCAGCCCTTGACGTTTGTGTACACTTCAAAGTCAATTAAAAGTGTTATTGTTATTCACTCTGAACGTTGAAGTTTCTCAAAGAGATTGATTTTTTAATATTTGCTTTTCACTGTCTCTATCACCAGCTGCTGAGCTAGAGAGCAAGAGGGAGAGAGAGAGAGAGAGAGAGAGAGAGAGAGAGAGAGAGAGATAGAGAGAGAGAGAGAGAGATAGAGACTAGCTCTACGATCTAGCGCTAGAGGAGTTAGAGCAGTAGAGCCAATGATCTTCTCTCTCTTCCTCTCCCTCTCTCAGACGTATCGCTATTCTCTGCTCATACCACTCATCTCTATCGCTCCCTCTCTCTCTCTCTCTCTGCTCCTCTCTCTCTCTGCTCTCTCTCTCTCTCTCTCCGTCTCTCTCTCTCTCGCCTCTCTCCCTCTATCTCCTCTCTCTCTGTCGCTCTCTCTTCCCTTGTCGGTCGTTTTGTGTTCAATCTATGCCCATATATCATTAATCCCACAAACTATCACAGAGGACTATGGATTCTAATTAAAACTCATACAGTCTGACTTGACACCGCTATTATTGATATAAAAATGTATCATTGCTTTTCTCTTCCCTGCCTTTAGAAGAAAAAAAAACAACAACAACCTAGCAGTCCTATCAACACCCCTTATCTTATCTTCTCTACGTTATTATAAACATAGCAAAATGAGCTAAGCAGAGAGACAGATGAATGAATGCTGAACTTCTGTTTATCTAGTCATGTTTAGATTAGAAGAAAAAAATAAAAGATAAAAGATGTGCTAGAACATGTGTTCATGTGTTCTATTATAATGCAATTGTGAGTTATTATACTAATATACTATAATTACCATTCAAAGTCATGGGCCCGACAGATACACGACTCAGCAGAGAGGACTTTGGCGTAGTCTTTTCCCAGCATGCAATAGTTTCCTGGTCTGTGTTTCATATAGATCTGTTTCTGGCCTATCACACACGGCTCGCCCTGTGAAACACATACAGGATATTAATTCATATAGTACACACACATGGGATTACAGTATGTCATTTTCAAATGTCAAATGAGCATAGAACAGCAAGTCAAACTATTCTGATGTTAACCTATTGAGCTTATTGTAACTACCCAAACACTGTAAGTACACTGCATCTACCATGTTAAATCATTGTTACCCGGAGCAAAATGTGGGAGGGTCATACTTTTTCATTTTTAGTCAGGGGGAGGGATTAGTATTGTTTTATTTAGTCCAGGGGAGGGTCAGGTAATTTGTAATCGATTAAATGTCATATTGCTCAGGGTTTGAGAATTAGTTGCTTATTATAGTATCTCGATGTGTGCCCGATGACGCCCCTCATCCCTGATTCTCTGCTGTGCAATATCAAGTGTGCCTAGTGTGGTCTCAATAAAATGATCCATAGCCTAAACTATACAGTGGGGAGAACAAGTATTTGATACACTGCCGATTTTGCAGGTTTTCCTACTTACAAAGCATGTAGAGGTCTGTAATTTTTATCCTAGGTACACTACAACTGTGAGAGACGGTATCTAAAACAAAAATCCAGAAAATCACATTGTATGATTTTTAAGTAATTAATGTGCATTTTATTGCATGACATAAGTATTTGATACATCAGAAAAGCAGAACTTAATATTTGGTACAGAAACCTTTGTTTGCAATTACAGAGATCATACAGTGGGGAAAAAAAGTATTTAGTCAGCCACCAATTGTGCAAGTTCTCCCACTTAAAAAGATGAGAGAGGCCTGTAATTTTCATCATAGGTACACGTCAACTATGACAGACAAAATGAGATTTTTTTTTTTCAGAAAATCACATTGTAGGATTTTTTATGAATTTATTTGCAAATTATGGTGGAAAATAAGTATTTGGTCACCTACAAACAAGCAAGATTTCTGGCTCTCACAGACCTGTAACTTCTTCTTTAAGAGGCTCCTCTGTCGTCCACTCGTTACCTGTATTAATGGCACCTGTTTGAACATGTTATCAGTATAAAAGACACCTGTCCACAACCTCAAACAGTCACACTCCAAAGTCCACTATGGCCAAGACCAAAGAGCTGTCAAAGGACACCAGAAACAAAATTGTAGACCTGCACCAGGCTGGGAAGACTGAATCTGCAATAGGTAAGCAGCTTGGTTTGAAGAAATCAACTATGGGAGCAATTATTAGGAAATGGAAGACATACAAGACCACTGATAATGTCCCTCGATCTGGGGCTCCACGCAAGATCTCACCCTAGTGAATGACCTGCAGAGAGCTGGGACCAAAGTAACAAAGCCTACCATCAGTAACACACTACGCCGCCAGGGACTCAAATCCTGCAGTGCCAGACGTGTCCCCCTGCTTAAGCCAGTACATGTCCAGGCCTGTCTGAAGTTTGCTAGAGTGCATTTGGATGATCCAGAAGAGGATTGGGAGAATGTCATATGGTCAGATGAAACCAAAATAGAACTTTTTGGTAAAAACTCAACTCGTCGTGTTTGGAGGACAAAGAATGCTGAGTTGCATCCAAAGAACACCATACCTACTGTGAAGCATGGGGGTGGAAACATCATGCTTTGGGGCTGTTTTTCTGCAAAGGGACCAGGACGACTGATCCGTGTAAAGGAAAGAATGAATGGGGCCATGTATCGTGAGATTTTTTGTGAAAAACCTCCTTCCATCAGCAAGGGCATTGAAGATGAAACGTGGCTGGGTCTTTCAGTATGACAATGATCCCAAACACACCGCCCGGGCAACGAAGGAGTGGCTTCGTAAGAAGCATTTCAAGTTCCTGGAGTGGCCTAGCCAGTCTCCAGATCTCAACTCCATAGAAAATATTTGGAGGGAGTTGAAAGTCCATGTTGCCCAGCGACAGCCCCAAAACATCACTGCTCTAGAGGAGATCTGCAGGTGGGAATGGGCCAAAATACCAGCAACAGTGTGTGAAAACCTTGTGAAGACTTACAGAAAACGTTTGACCAACAAAGGGTATATAACAAAGTATTGACAAACTTTTGTCATTGACCAAATACTTATTTTCCACCATAATTTGCAAATAAATTCATAAAAAATCCTACAATGTGATTTTCTGGATTTTTTTTCTCATTTTGTCTGTCATAGTTGACGTGTACCTATGATAAAAATTACAGGCCTCTCTCATCTTTTTAAGTGCACAATTGGTGGCTGACTAAATACTTTCTTTCCCCACTGTATGTTTCCTGTAGGTCTTGACCAGGTTTGCACACACTACAGCAGGGATTTTGGCCCACTCCTCCATACAGACCTTCTAAAGATCCTTCAGGTTTCGGGGCTGTCGCTGGGCAATACGGACTTTCAGCTCCCTCCAAAGATTTTCTATTGGGTTCAGGTCTGGAGACTGGCTAGGCCACTCCAGGACCTTGAGATGATTCTTACGGAGCAACTCCTTAGTTGCCCTGGCTGTGTGTTTCGGGTCATTGTCATACTGGAAGACCCAGCCACAACCCATCATCAATGCTCTTACTGAGGGTAGGAGGTTGTTGGCCAAGATCTCGCGATACATGGCCCATCCATCCTCCCCTCAATACGGTGCAGTCGTCCTGTCCCCTTTGCAGAAAAGCATCCCCAAAGAATGATGTTTCCACCTCCATGCTTCACGGTTGGAATGGTGTTCTTGGGGTTGCACTCATCCTTCTTCTTCCTCCAAACACGGCGAGTGGAGTTTAGACCAAAAAGCTCTATTTTTGTCTCATCAGACCACATGACCTTCTCCCATTCCTCCTCTGGATCATCCAGATGGTCATTGGCAAACTTCAGACGGGCCTGGAAATGCGCTGGCTTGAGCAGGGGGACCTTGCGTGCGCTGCAGGATTTTAATCCATGACGGCGTAGTGTGTTACTAATGGTTTTCTTTGAGACTGTGGTCCCAGCTCTCTTCAGGTCATTGACCAGGTCCTGCCGTGTAGTTCTGGGCTGATCCCTCACCTTCCTCATGATCGTTGACGCCCCACGAGGTGAGATCTTGCATGGAGCCCCAGACCGAGGGTGATTGACCGTCATCTTGAACGTCTTCCATTTTCTAATAATTGCGCCAACAGTTGTTGCCTTCTCACCAAGCTGCTTGCCTATTGTCCTGTAGCCCATCCCAGCCTTGTGCAGGTCTACTATTTTATCCCTGATGTCCTTACACAGCTCTCTGGTCTTGGCCATTGTGGAGAGGTTGGAGTCTGTTTGATTGAGTGTGTGGACAGGTGTCTTTTATATAGGTAACGAGTTCAAACAGGTGCAGTTAATACAGGTAATGAGTGGAGAACAGGAGGGCTTCTTAAATAAAACCTAACAGGTCTGTGAGAGCCGGAATTCTTACTGGTTGGTAGGTGATCAAATACTTATGTCATGCAATAAAATGCAAATTAATTACTTAAAAATCATACAATGTGATTTTCTGGATTTTTGTTTTAGATTCCGTCTCTCACAGTTGAAGTGTACCTAGGATAAAAATTACAGACCTCTACATGCTTTGTAAGTAGGAAAACCTGCAAAATCGGCAGTGTATCAAATACTTGTTCTCCCCACTGTATGTTATAGGACTAGGCTACATTAAGAGCATGCTAGGAGAAGCACAGGGCAAAGTTATATTTCTAAGAAAATGTACTTCCTTCCTCAGTTTTGAAATGGAAGACTAGGCCTACTGATGTCCTGTTTAGTTTGAGAGGGAGAGAGCAAAGATGAAAAGGAGGACTGGAGGTGAGCTACTGATATAATTGAAGCTATTTATCAGAGTTATTGACCTCACTAGAAGCCATATTCAAGTAATTTACATACCTTACATTACCATGAAGCAGCAGCAGTTTAATTTGACTTTACTAACAACAATAGGGCTTTGTGTTGAAGCCTATTTCTTCCTATTCAAGAAATAAGAGGCAGGCCTACCTGTTTGACAGATGGAATGATAGTCAACTATCCATAGACTTTGTCAGCCAATTTCTTCTATCACCATACACTCCTTAAATATCACAGTGTCAGTGAAGAGCTTGGTGTATTAAGTTAAAACCAGGGCTCGAATACAGGGGGTATGTGAGGGTATTGTGGCTTTTGTTAAAGAAAATGGCTAAAAGTGTAGGCCTACCCCCTTGTTAACTTGTTGTTTTGGGGGAAATATATACGGACCTGATTATATAAAGTGATCTATAACGATGCGTTAGTCCGCAACGCTTTATGTTAGAAACAAGCTGTAAAATTCCGGGTAAAGACGTGACTCCGATGCATGTGAGATATTTTTGGTTCGTCTCTATGACATTCAGAGGCTGTGCTACAACCTTCTATAGCCGAGGAGACAATAAATGTACTTGGGAAGTACTGTGTGATTCTGTCACTATCAAATGACGTTCAACCTTTCAACAGGCTATTAAACAACATACTAACTCTAAAATCAGTCAGGAGCAAGCCAGTTAGCCTAAGAAGGAACAGAAATGTATTATTATATTATTATTATTTCCAACCTATAGCCCGCCATTTAAGAAATCAATTGTGAAACATATGTGACATGCAACAGGCTGGCAGGAGCGCTCAGCATTTCAACAACACATCAACAACAGTACTTCAACAACATGCTGATACATTTTGCATTTTGGCTATATAATATATATATATACAGTTGAAGTCGGAAGTTTACATACACTTAGGTTGGATTCATTAAAACTTGTTTTTCAACCACTCCACAAATTTCTTGTTAACAAACTATACTTTTGGCAAGTCGGTCAGGACATCTACTCTGTGCATGACACAAGTAATCTTTCCAACAATTGTTTACAGACAGATTATTTCACTTATAATTCACTGTATAACAATTCCAGTGAGTCAGAAGTTTACATATACTAAGTTGACTGTGCCTTTAAACAGCTTGGAAAATTCCAGAAAATGATGTCATGGCTTTAGAAGCTTCTGATAGGCTAATTGACATAATTTGAGTCAATTGAACGTGTACCTGTGGATGTATTTCAAGGC